AAAAAGAAGATGATGTAAAAAGAAAAAAAAAAAAAAAAAAAAAAAACAATTCAAGCTGCATCGCGCGCTCCGCGCCCCAGCAGCCAGCAAGCGCGCGCTCCGCGCCCCAGCAGCCAGCAAGCGCGCGCCCCGCGCCCCAGCAGCCAGCAAGTGCGCGCCCCGCGCCCCGACAATGCCGCGCGCGCGCTCCCTGCTCCCCAGCAGCCCACGAGCGCGCGCCCCGCGCCCCATCAGCCCGCGAGCGCGCGCCCCGCGCACCAGCCGCCCGCGCGCGCACGCCCTCCTCGCGCCCCGCGCCCCAACAGTTCCGCGTGCGCGCTCTCCGCTCCCCAACAGCCCCCGAGCGCGCGCCCCGCGCCCTGGCCGCCCGCGCGCGCACGCCTTCCTCGCGCAAGAGCCGCCCGCCCGCGCGCTCCTTGCGCCCCAGCAGCTCTGCGCGCCCGCTCCCCCGCGCCCATCACCCATGCCGCGCGCGCCCCAACAGCCCCGCGCGCCCCGCTCCCCGGCCGTGCGCCGTGCTCCCCAATCGGGTGCGCGCCTCGCGCCCTGCCCCACAGCCTTGCCGCGCGCCCCGTTCCCCGAATGCCCAACACACCTGCGCCCCGATCCCCGCACGCCCAAAACACCTGCGCCCTGTCGTGCGCGCGCATTGCGCCGCCCAAGAAAAAAGTAAACCAAAAAAAAAAAAAAACAGGCACGAATCTTGAAACAAAAAAAAAAAAAAAAAAAACCGGGCACGATTCCCGACAAAAAAAAAAAAAAAAAATTGGGCACGGTTCCCGAGGCGCACACGTGCACGATTCCCGAGGTGCACGCGGCACGCTTCCCGAGGCAAAAAAAAAAGGCACAATTCCTGAGAAACAAATTTGGGCCCGATTCTCGAGGCGCACACGGGCACGCTTCCCGAGACAAAAAAAAACATAGGAAAAAGGGAGTAAAGCAACATGATGCGTCACTCTCGAGGAAGTCCCATATCAGCTCCTCATAAAATGCTTAACAGCTCTACACTCTCTCCCTCCATGCACTACATGCGCGCGTGCCCCCCCATATGGGCTAGTGCGCACACGGACCCCAAGTGCGTTCGAACTCTAGCACATCAGCGTCCTACAATGCGTGCCGCCTCTCCTACCTCGTAGCACGCCCATACCTGAGGTCGAGCGCAACTCTCAAAATTCTACATCAAATCACGTGAAAATTTTGACGTACTTTACTAAATCGCGCAAGAATTTATGTGCGGTCCACCAAATCGCTTGATAGTTTCACCTCGCTTAACCAAATTGCGCGAGCTCTTCAACGTGCCTACTATCAAACGGATAAAAAAAAAATATATTTCTCCACGCCACGCCAACGATTAACGAAACACTACAGCACCGATCTACTCTCGACACGATCCGGTATTATTTTCGACTAATCTCCCACATCAAATCGAGAGTGGGGGGCTTGCGAGACAAACCCACCGCGAGACAACTCCCACGAGGAGTAAAACTCGCTCGGCCCTACACACCCGTTGCGAGGCAACTCCCACGAGGAGCCAACGCCCTCGGTACCACAACTCACAGCGAGATAACTCCCACGAGGAGCAAAACTCGCTCGGCCCTACACACCCGTTGCGAGGCAACTCCCACGAGGAGCCAACTCCCTCGGGTCTCATAACCACAGCGAGATAACTCCCACGAGGAGACCACTCGCTCCGTCCTACAACCCGCAGAGAGACAACTCCCACGAGGAGCCAACTCCCTCGGGTCTACGAAACCATAGCGAGATAACTCCCACGAGGAGACCACTCGCTCCGTCCTACAACCCGCAGCGAGACAACTCCCACGAGGAGCCAACTCCCTCGGGTCTACGAAACCATAGCGAGGTAACTCCCACGAGGAGACCACTCGCTCCGTCCTATAACCCGTTACGAGGTAACTCCCACGAGGAGCCAACTCCCTCGGATCTCATAACCGCAGCGAGGCAACTCCCACGAGGAGCCAACCCGCTCGGTACTACGAACCCGCAGCGAGACAACTCCCACGTGGAGCGAACTCGCTCGGTACTACAACCTACAGCGAGATAACTCCCACGAGGAGACAACTCGCTCGGTACCCCAACCCGTAGTGGGACAACTCCCACGAGGAGCCAACTCGCTCGGCACTACAAATCCGTTGCAAGGCAACTCCCACGAGAAACCAACTTGCTCAATACTACAACCTACAGCGAGAAAACTCCCACGAGGAGCCAACTCGCTCGGTACTACGAACCCGCAGCGAGACAACTCCCACGAGGAGCCAACTCGCTCCGTACCACAAACCGCAGCGAGACAACTCCCACGAGGAGCCAACTCGCTCGATACTACAAATCCGTTGCAAGGCAACTCCCACGTACAACCACCTCGCTCGATAATAAGACTCGCTGCGAGACAACTCCCACGAGGAGACAACTCGCTCAGAACAACCTCAATCGCGCGTCATCCAATGCTCCTACAACTTCGCTGCAAGACAACTCTCTTGAAGAGACAACTCGCTCGCAATGCACTACATAATCGCAAGCTCAAGTTAGCACGATTACAACCCTAGAAACACTTAGAGATATTACGAGAATCTATATAGCCTGGCCAGCTTGATTACTCGAAATTTATCTACTTGTTTTCGATGGATCCTTCTTTAAAACGTGGCCACGGTCCAAACATACTTACGACCCACGAGGTCTAACAAGGGGCACGATCCCCATAAAAAAAATCTCTTGAGAGCCTGATCCCCTCCTCAAGTACATCACGCACAAAGCTATATGTAAACACATACAAGCAACGCGTCAAAACATTGACAATGTCGATAAATAACAACTCCCACGAGGAGAATACTAGCTCCGTGCTACTACATTATCACGAGACAACTCCCACGAGGAGATAACTCGATCAACTCTATTACCCCACGACGAGACAACTCCCACGAGGAGATTACTTGATCCGTGCTACCACATTATCGCGAAACAACTCCCACGAGGAGATAACTCGATCAACTATATTACCCCGCGACGAGACAACTCCACGAGGAGATAATTCGCTACTACATCGTCGCGGGACAACACCGACGACTCAAATAACTTACATAGCGACAACTTGGTCGCGCTACGCGCCAACGCGCATTCACGCCCCTCCGACACACACTCCAACCCGTTTTCGCACACCATCGACTACTACATTTTTTACTCTCGACACGATCTGTCACCCATTCCAATATGTCCCCCACATCGACTCGAGAGTGGGGGGCTTAATGATATGCCTAATTGGGCCAGCCCAATGGGCCCACAAATTATTTACCTAAAGGGCCACGAGCCCAATATTGAAGACCACTCTCACCGAGGCCCAATCACCTTCAAGTAAGGTTTGGGCCCGACAATCTCGACTAAGCTATAAATAAATGTTTGAACTCATTCCTTAAGGTACGTCCTATTAACTGAGCAATACTACAATACGTATTCTCTGGACTATTTCTATGATCAGCACGTCTGACTTGAGCGTCGGAGGGGTTTCCGCCGGATCAACCCCCGGCGTAGTTCATGTGTGTTCATTTCGCAGGAACCTCAGGATCATCAAGTTGTCAAGCTATTGATCTGCTTTGCTCTCCCAGCTCATTTTCTACACTACCCCAGGTGATCTACATTTTAGCATCATCACTATGAAATCTATATTAAAAATATATATTTCAAAAAATATAAAAAGAAAAATTAAAATGAAAATAAGATCTAAAATGAATTTTAAAATAATGTATGTATTCAAATTCAAATCCAAAAAATTATAAAAAAATCATTTTTTATTTCAAAATTGAAAATTCAAAATATTGTTCAAACGAATATTTTTGGATCAATTTAAATAGAAATAAAAATTTCCGTTTCAATTCACAACCTGGGTCATGCGTAGTGCATGTTGCCCCTCCAATTTTTCTTTTTCTTTTTTTGTATTTAATATTTTTTTTTTTTATGAAAAATGTATTTAATATTATAAGTATAAAAAAAACTCTCATGTGTAGAGAGTAGTTTTGTTTCTTTGGTCGACAAGAGAAGCCTTAATCATTCGAAGTGAAATAGTTAAACCCTGCTCTTGTACAATAGATTGTAAAACACATAAAAGACGGAAACTATACATTGAGTTAAGTCAGTCAACTATGTTTACGAGTTCTATTTTATTTTTTTGAGTAATTTACGAGTTCGATTTAGAAAGTGTTGATAAAAAAATTTAAACTCGGACCAATCCAAAACATTAATGACAATAATGTTTGGATTGGTTTTCATTCACTTTCATTCTCTCTCGATACAAATTCTTGTTTGTTAAGATTTTCAAAAAGAAAATCTTATAATAAATTCAAAAGTTTCTCTCTTCTGCACACATAATTTGACTGTTATAGTGAAAACTGCTAACCGCTACGGTTGTATTATCTTAATTAGAAGAAAAACAATATCACTTTATTTGTCAAATTCTTCTTCTACAATACATTTTTTTCGACATTTTTAAACATGATTTGACTGTTACAGTTCATTTTATTTATTCACAAATTATAAACAAACATTAGTTTAATTCTCAAATTATTTACTCAGACCCTATTTCCGCAAAAATAAAATAAAAATAGCTCCCAAAACGAATCCGAATATATTATTACATTTTCGAAACATATTATTGAAGTTAGAATTTCATTAAAGTGGGACGCAATGCCGTGTGCAATATGAAAACATAGTCGTATAGCTTGATATTAGTTGTCCATTAATCCTGTGGGCTACGGCCGCAGGTACTAATAAGAAATTTTACTTTTAAATTTTTAATTTCCAAAAATGCAAATGAGTAAAAAAATTTAAAAAAAGATTTCATCACCGGTTCAAATTAGAAAATAATAATACATAAATAAAAAATTGAAACACCGACGTCATTAATTATATTAGATACATGAATCAACTTAGGCTCCGTTTGGTTGCCAAAATAAGCCATGATTAACTAAATAATTGGACTTAATTTGTCGAGTCGACCCGCCAAAATTATATAATCATGACTCATCTTGCCATATCTTACCTTCTACTGAGTTTTTCTTTTTGAACGATTTCAAGCTCCAATAATTGGGTCTCATTAGATTATTTTATCTTATTTTGTCTAATTTTAATATACCAACCAAACGGGCCTTAGAAAACATTTAATAATGACGTCATTTTTCATTCAGATTCACATTTCTCATCAGTAAAAAAAGAAGAAAATTAATATGCCAAATTAGAGTTGACCAACTGAAAAAAAAAATATATATATATATATATAAATTGAAGTTCCAAATCCAGAAATCTACACGTTAATTAATTAATTGATGAAGCTTCCGCATTTCTACATCTCCGCAAATCCAATTTCATCTTCACAAATTCAGATCCTCCGAAAAATTTGAAGCGCGATGGCGGTGAAGGGGAGGCAGCAGTACGGCAGGGTTGGGCCGCGCAAAACGTCGTCGTCGACGTTGGTTCTGTACGGATTGATAATGCTGTCGTTGCTGATTGTGATCCTTTTAGCTCTGGGAATTCTCTCAATTTCCAGCAGCACCAACGCCTCGAAAGATTCCCCCAGAGCGCATGATCTCAGCTTCATCTCTCACAATTCAGCCCACTCGTAATTCACCTCAACTTCAATTGTGCGTTTTTTGTTTTAATTGATTGGATTTTTGATTTAATTTTGGGGTATTTGATTGCTTTTCAGAGATGATGGAGATGAGGAGAGTAAGGATCAGTGGCTTGAAGTTATTTCTTGGGAGCCTAGAGCCTTTGTTTTTCATAATTTCTTGGTAATTTGTCTCATTTTTTTATGTTATTTATTTATATATTTATACTTTTCGATTTTAAAGATTTATTATTCGAATGCTGTATTTAGATCTCTGATATATGTTAAAGATGGACTTTTTTTTTTTTTTTTTATGGCTGGAATTGCTGATTATATTGCATTTTAGATCTTTAATTGAGACACTCTACAGACTACATGAAGACGATGATTTTCGGGGTGAGGTTTGGGTTAATTTTGTCAGCAGAAAGCAGAACTTGTTAGTTTCGGTTGTCTGATATATACTGCAGTTGATGACTTTCATCAATTCTATCCGGCTTGAAAATTGGTGTTTTATGAACATTGATAATCGTGAAAATGAACGAAATTAGAGTCGGATAGATTTTATGCTTAACTATTGCTGAATTACATAGTTTGTCGCGCGGTATTATTTTTGCTGAAATTTTTGTATCCTTTTTTTCTCGGCAGTCAAAAGAGGAATGCGAGTATCTCATTAGTATCGCCGAGCCGCATATGGAAAAGTCAACTGTTGTCGATAGTGAAACCGGGAAAAGTACAGATAGCAGGTTTGCCAATTCTACATTACTTTATTGCTTGGTGTTTAAGTCAAACTCAGCCCAGAAAGCCTTATTTTGTTCATCGTTATATGGTCTATTCCTCTCAAAAGTTAAATGATGATGCTCGAATCCTTTCTCATTTACATTACTCCACGACCGACGTTCTAATTTGACATTATATGTTCTGTTCTTACCAAATTCATATTTAGATTCAGTTCCGCACTTCGGTTTATCGATTTTTATGAGCTAAATTTCAATTGTGAACAAAAAGATAATCATTCTCAACAGTCAACACTGTCCTATAAAATTTTGAGTTTTAGCAGGCAGCCAGGTGGGACCCGATTCCGAGTCTCCACTTTACCCTCTCGTCGAAAGAAATCACATAATCTTAAATTTAACTTCTAAGTGAGTCAGTTGAAATCTCACATTTTAGATATTCACCTCCAATTTCCATTGCATTTTTACTCACTTCAAATCAAATTCACTCTTATAGCAATAGAATTTACTTGACCTCAATCTGGCTTATACTTTTCATTTCAAAGAAAATTGAATATAGTGTCGTATTCTTTCGTAACTTTTTCTAATGCTCTTTCCGTGCAGAGTACGTACAAGTTCCGGTACATTTCTTGCTAGGGGACGTGATAAAATTGTACAGAGAATTGAGAAGAGAATTGCAGATTTCACCTTCATCCCTGTAGGTATGCATTTTAGTGGCGGTTTGATGTCAAATTTGAAGTGTAAGATGAAATTATTTTCTAGTTCTTTTTTTGCGTGACTTTGAGTCACTGGATGCGATCACAACCAGTTCTAGTCGGAAGTTTATGTTATATCAGGTGGTAGTACAGTAGAACCTCGATAAATTAATAACCTCACTTAAATAATAGTTTTCCTCGGTCCCGACTCGTTGAAAACGTATTAAATTATAAGTTCGATAATTTTAATATTTCGCAAAATTAATAGAATTTTGCTGGTCCCGACTGTATTAATTTATAGAGGTTTAACAGTACTTCCATTTTCTAAAAAAATATGGTTAGCAAAGTTAGTTGTATGTTCAGGGATTCTTTTGAAGTAAAACAGACAAATCCAGAAGGGATAAAATTTATATTCATAGGGAAATTGCTATGAAAATAAAATTTATTCGGATTCGTATGCAACTGCACTATGATTTGTTCTTTTCTGATAGCAATTTTTCTACCTTAATTTCACCTTCAGTATTTTATTTTTACCCTTCACATTTTGATACTATTGCGCATTGCCCCATTTTATTCGACTTTCTTGATTTATGTCATATGTTGTAAATTAACATTTTAGAATCCGAATAAACCTACTTTATAATCATCAGAGCATGGCGAAGGCCTTCAGATCCTTCACTACGAAGTAGGACAAAAGTACGAGCCTCATTACGACTATTTTATGGACGAATTCAATACTCAAAATGGCGGTCAACGCATTGCTACTGTTCTGATGTACTTGTAAGTGACTTTTTTTTTTCTCTTTCGACTCCCACAGTTTAATCTGCACACACACACACACTCTGTTCTTAAATCTCCGATACAAATTGTACAGGTCAGATGTTGAAGAAGGGGGTGAAACAGTATTCCCAGCAGCAAAAGGAAATATTAGCGCTGTTCCATGGTGGAACGAGCTATCTCAATGTGGGAAAGAAGGACTCTCTATTAAACCAAAAATGGGTGATGCACTACTTTTCTGGAGCATGAAACCTGATGCAACTCTTGATCCATCAAGTTTGCACGGTCAGTTTTTGCTTAAGGATACATATATATATATTAAGGGTTTATTGCAATTAGTACCCTGTATTATACGAATTGCTAACAAACTACCCGTGTTTTTTTTATTGGCGAAACCCCCCCCTATTTTTTTAGCACAAAACCGCCTAAATAGGGGTACTAATTACTATAAAAAAAAATCATAGGGGTATTTTGCCAATAAAATAACTTGGGGTAGTTTTTTTGAGCAATTCAATATAAATATTAATATGACACGTAATATATGTAACTATAAATATTACATGCGTGCTCCTTTCATGAAATAATATGGTCTCGTGTAGGTGGCTGTCCTGTTATAAGAGGGAACAAGTGGTCATCTACGAAATGGATGCGTGTCCATGAGTACAAGGCCTAATTTACTGGTGAGCTTTTGCGGTTTTGTTTTTTTCGAACAATAATCTAATTAAATTTACGAGCAACTTTTAATATTACACAATAGTTATTATATGCTGTTTCGTGTTGTTATAAGCTTTTATTTGATGCATGTTTGTCTTCTAAATAGTCTGTTATGAATTCATGTGCAAGAATATATCTAGCACTTGACATCAATGATTGATTTTGTGGCAGGTTCCGTAAACGAGGTTGTTGAGCTCTTTTGCTTCGGGGCACCAAAACGAGGATTAATGTACTATTATACTTAATTTACTTTCAGAGGTAACCCTTTTGTTGGGATACGATACCAGTACCACCATCTGAAGACAGATCTCAAAGAACAATTTATTTATTTTAAATTATTTTTTTGTTTGGGAAATTTTGATGTTAGTTTAACGCATATTTAAATACTTAAGGTATTTATTTTGAGATATAATGAATTAATGAGCAGATACGGAATTGTAAAATTAACAACAAATAAATTGAAGCATATATATGTTTTTGTTCGAACCCCTTTAATTATGTTTGTGCAGTAAGGAACAGGTAAGGAACAGTTGTGTCGTCTATCGGATACAATAATTCACCGTGTCTTCACCAATATTGCACTATTGGCTTCGGGTGAAGCAGAAGTTGCACCCAACACCCATCAAGAGCTTAATATAGCATGTACAACTAGCGAAAACTTAGAAAAGTATATATTATCACTTTCTTCCTTTTCCTGTCTGTATATCGAGAGCCGTTGTCTCCTATTTTATAGGTACGAAAATATGACCGTTGTGACCATATTTTATAGCCAAATTTAGATCACTGATTATCATAGTAACCCAAAACACAATATAAAATAAGGCTAAATAAACAGTCAAAATAAGTTAATGAAGAAAACAATTTTTGATTAAAATACTAAACAATCCACCACTTATTTTAATCAAAACTATAGATTAAGAAAATAATAATAATCAAGCTCTTGTGCGAATATTATGATTAATCTTTCTTCTCATACTAAAATCAAAGTGGAATCTGCTTTTAAGCCGTGATCCTTGTGTCACGTAGAATTATATTAGGCACATAATACTTTAAGTGTCCCAAATTAGCTTCTCAAACCAACATATTAAGGGCCAGTGTGGTTTATCCAATTATTCACGATGCTCTAGAGAACCCAACATTATTCTTATAGAAAGCGGCCTCACTTTCACACCATATAGGTGATACATATAATTATTTTAAGATATTTAGAAGATAAAAAAATTGATGTTAGTTTAAAGCATATTTAAATACTTATGGGATATCTTGAGATATAATTTAAAAAAATTGCACAACAGATGGAAAAATAAATATATGTATATTGAGAAAAGATAAACTGTTTCGTTCCTACTCCAACTAATTAAATTTAAACTAGCAACTCCTGACATCTACGTCTAAATATTTATATACAAAAGCAAGAAGTAGCAATAATAGAAAAATAAAACGCAAGAGTACGTTCCCTAGATATATCAAACTCGGTCTCTCAATTTGCTCATGGCGATGGCCTTATTGACAGGGTCATTTGGCTCATTCATAAACCTCTTCCAGAACCAATGGCTCCTCCAGACCTGCGTCATCTCCTCGATCGGAATATTCTTTGTCTCCGGCATGAAGAAGTAGCAGAACAATGTCATCACCGGCCACGAAGAATGCAAAGAATATGAACAGACCGTACTTCATTGAGCAGAGCATTGTGAGGAAGCATTGCCCGACTATGAATGTGAAGGCCATGTTGACGGCCACCGTTATGCTCTGTGCAGCCGACCGGACCTCAAGAGGGAATATCTCGCTCGGGTACAACCAGCCCAACGGGCCCCACGACCAAGCGAACCCCATTACGTACACGCATATGCACACGACCACCACCGCGGCGAACCAAAAGGGTATATCCATCACGTTTCCCGACACCCCGAATCTCCACCCGATTAGCCCCGCTATGAGTGACTGGAAAATGAACATTTGCACGCCGCCTTCGAGGAAGAGGCTCCTCCTCCCCCACCGATCGGATCCATAGATTGACACTCCGGTGGCAAACATGTTGACAACGCCCGTGATCACTGACGAGATGAGTGAGGCGTCCGAACCGAAACCGAGGCTCTGGAAGAGCACTGGAGCGTAGAACATGATGACGTTGATTCCGGTGAACTGCTGGAAGAAAGGGATGAGAATGGACATGGCAAGTTGGGATCTGTAGCACTTTGTTCCAAAAAGATTCCTCCACGGACTCTCCACGAGGTCTGCTTCGTTCTTGGCCGCCAGCATGTCGTTGAATTCGGCGTCCACGTCATCAACGCCACGTATGCGCTTCAGAAGGGCTTTGGCTTCAATCTCCCTCCCTCTTTGGACCATGGAGTTGGGTGTGTCGGAGAGGAAGAAGGAAGCGATGAGGATTATCACGGCGGGGACTCCGGCAAGGCCCAAGCTCAGGCGCCACCCCCAGCCGCCGCTAATCTTGGCCGTCCCGAAGTTGATCAAATTGGCGCATAGTATCCCAATTGTGATCATCAACTGGAAACAAATGTTGAACCTTCCACGGTAGTTGTACGGAGACATCTCGGAAAGATACAAAGGCACCGACTGCACACGTTAATTCAAGAAATTAATTGGGTTTAGTAAATTAAATATCATGCATAACCATATTTAAAAACAGAGAAAAATAAATAAAAAAATAAAATACCTGATTAGCAAAGCCAATGCCGATGCCAAGTAGAATACGGCCCAAGATGAGCATGGATAGATGGACAGCACCGGCGTTGAGGGCGGCGCCGAACAAGAAGATAAATCCGGCCATCATCATGGATATACGACGGCCGAATTTCTTGGTGACCTCCCCCGCGGCTAAGGAGGCGAAGAGGGCAGCCAAGTACAAGGAGGATGTGAACAATTGGAGTGTAGGGCTGTTAAACTTGCAGTACTGGTTGGTCGACGTGATCGATTGTTGCCTCTCGTAAACGTCGGGGAAGAACTTTTCCAAGAAAGGCGCCATAGAAGTCACCCCACCTAATAATTCAAGAAAGACAGATTGGTGTCAAAATAATTCATAAGAATATATCATATATATATAGATAGATAGTAATTCATAAGGATTATAAGTAGGAGGTATATATATACGTACCAGATATACCAAGATCGTAGCCAAAAATCAAACCACCGGCGGCTCCGGCCAAAACAGTTAGGAGAACATAGGGTGTGAGTTTGCCGGGGTACGAAGGTGGAGGACTTCCTCCGTCAAACGAAACACCACCCATTGAAACTAATTAAAACTAGATAGAGAAGAGGGGCGATATATGTATGTGATCGAGAGAGAGAAATCAAATCAATTAAATTATGCTATGAGAATAACTGGGCGGGCAGTTGTATATATAGGGAGAGAGTAGTTGTATTTAGTTTAGGATAGGAGTCTCTCTTGCATGCATGCGCTTAATATATTATCCTAATTAAAATATATTTTTAGTTATCCTATTATAAATCCAATACTCTTTATGGGATCGTTAAAGTTAAACCAGTAGATATTAGTTAGATATTAATTAAAATATATTAATTTATCCTATTATAAATCCAGTACTCTTTTTATGGATTTACTATTTAGAATGGGATTATTAGGGAAGGGTAAATGAGAAATAGGCACATGATAAGGGCACTTAATTAAAAGAGGGACATTCAACATTTTTGTCTTTTAAATAAATTCGCCCATTCAAACTTATTTGTAAATAAGGAAATTTGTTTCCGGCCGGTCAACTGCCGTTGACCGCCGGGTCTCTGGCGTTGACTTGTTTTTTTTTTTTTTTTTTCTTTTCTTAAAAAAAATATTTTAATTAATATTACTGTCTTAGCTGCTAAATTATTGTCTCCCGCAGTTATTTGACTGTCGTAATAACTGCCGGAGACAGTAATTTAACTGTTAATTGACCTTTTTATTTTTTTTTCCTTCAAAAATATTTTACTTATATTACTGTATTCGTTGCTAAATTACTGTTTCCAACAGTTATTTAATTGTCGGAGACAGTAATTTAACTGTTAATTGACTTTTTTATTCTTAAAACAATATTTTTAATTAATATTACTGTATTCGTTGCTAAATTACTGTCTCCAGCAGTTATTTAACTGTCGGAGGCAGTAATTTAACTGTTAATTGACTTTTTTATTCTTCAAAAAATATTTTTAATTAATATTACTGTATTCCTTGCTAAATTACTGTCTCCAGCAGTTATTTAACTATCGGAGACAGTAATTTAACTGTTAATTGACTCTTTTTTTTCTTAAAAGAAATTATTTTAATTACTATTATTGCATTCGTTGCTAAATTACTGTCTCCAACAGTAATTTAACTGTCTTAGACAATAATATTAATAATATTACTGTTCGGGAAAATGATATTCATAATATTACTGTCTCAAACAGTAATATTAATGTCTGAGACAGTAATTTAGTAGTCAAGACAGTAATATTAATTAAAATATTTTTTATCTAAGAAAAACAAATTAAAAAAAAAAAGTCAACGCCGGAGACCGGAAACAAGCTAAAATGGACATAAAGTCAAACGGAGACCAGAAGAAGTCTCGGACGGTCGTCCCAGAATTACACTGCAGAATCGGATGGCCATCCGGTTTTGCAAAAAGAGGCAGAGAGTCTCAGAAAATGAGACGGTCTTCCGAAAGTTTTACATGAAACTCGGGCGGCCTTTCGAAATATTGATTTTTGCCCGGTTAGGAATTTTAATAGCACAAGAAAATCCCTACTTGATACCGAGTCTTGACACCATATTAAAAAAAAACCTCAAGTACGAAAACTAGGGGTCCAATCTCACAATTCGGAGCAAGAAGTTAGAAGGGAAGACAGTAACTCAAAAATTTCAAACATAGTTTTATTTTCTTTTATTATGAATTATATTTCTATTTTTATTATAATTATGAGTATCTAAAATTTTAGTTTTTTGGATTTTTTATTCGAGTTTTATGTGGGATTTGTGAACTCAATTCTATGAGTTTATGCAAGTATAAGTTTAAGATTATTTCTTCTAATTGATTTATTAAGTGCATGACTTGATCACTTTATGTGCTATATTGTTATTGTTGAATGCAAGTCTCGGAAGATCGGTTCAACAATTAGAATTGTGGTAGAAGAACCTTTGTTGTGTTATCATAGGAATATAGCTAACCTCTTAGGTAGCTATTATTGAGATTTGTGCTCAGTGTTTTTTACTTGATTGAATTGCGTATGAATACAATAATTTAGTTCTGACTAATCGAGTCATAATACACGCGGAAGCAATTTATGAATAAATTAGCATCTCAGGTTAGTTATCCGAATTAGTTGGTTGCATAATTGATGAAATTGGGGAATCGATAATCACACAGGGGCAAGATAAAATCCTAAGGCTTTTTAATTTGATCACTCTTCGTGTTATTGCTTACTTGTTTTTCTTTTTTTAGTTAATTTATATTATTAGTTTAGTTTAGTTTAGTTTAGTTGAATCAACTCAACATTCGACTGTG